CCTGAGGGGCACGCCAGCCCTTCCCTCCGCTCCGCCTGCGCTACTTAGTACCAGTATTCCGAAATCGGCCCGCCCGTCTCCCTCTGGGCAGTACAGGAAAATAGCTCATCTGAGCAACCTTACCGCAGTGAGCTGAATGATCAATTTGTGCCTGACGTTCGACCATGAAATGTCCATGCGCGACCGCCGCGCCCAGCCGTGCAGATTCCTCTTGCATCACTCTTGCCTTCGCATGGTTTCCCCCGCGGTCCCGAAGGGCACTCCGATCCCAGGAATAACGTTTCCGCCCGGACCGCTTACGTAAGTTAGCCCCCGCCTTCCGAAACACGTTCCCTGCCCTCGCCTCTTCTGGGCAGTAGAAAGCTGGCAACATGAGGAAATACGAGCAACAACAAATATTAGGAGTGGTTCGTACATAGAGCCTGCGAGCCTGGGAGCCTCTGAAGTAGTGATGGGAGGTCCTACACATATGGAGGTGCTCATCATGGGGGATTATACTTGAGAGGGGCCCTTTTTCAGGAATCTCTCTGGAATTCTCAGGAAAGCTCACGAATACTCCAGGAACAAGCAACATTCCTTCAGGAATCTCTCAGATATCTTCAAGAATCTTCCAGAATCCTCCATGTTCTCCACGAAAGCGGAAGATCGTTCAGGAATCATTCCGGAATCATTCCAGAATCCTTCAGGAGGAATCCTGCACGCATCCTCCGGAATCCTGCGCGAATCCTCAGGAATCTTTTTTCCAAATAAAAAATAGTTCCTACAGGCTTTAGGAGTTCTCAAAAAAGGATCCTGCAAGCATCTTCAGCAATCCTGCGGGAATCCTGCGGAATCCTTCGACAATCGTCTTGAAATCCTCCAGAATCTGCAGGAATCCTGCTGGGATCCTGCGGTATCTTCAAAAATGATGTTGAACCCCTTCTGGATCTTCAGGAATCCCCCGGAATCCCCACGAACCCGCAAGAATTCTTCTGACATCCGACGATAAGCCGAATGGGGTCTTGTTGAGGTCCTATCATGATCTTGATGGGATCCCTCACTGAGGGTTCTGGGAGCGGGATATCACTTCCAGTGGCTGGACAGTTATGTATTTCCGCCGACAGGGGGGGTGGGGGATAATGAGTTCCGACGGTTACGTAAGGACTTCGGAGGAGAGAACTTGGGACGAGAGGGCGCATTGCAGCATGACTGGCGCATCCTAGCCTGACTCTGGTCCTCCTCCTCATCCTCCGCCTCCTCCTCCTCCTCCTCCTCCTCCTCCTCTCCTCCTATCATCATCATCATCATCATCATCATCATCATCATCCATCATCATCACATCATCATCATCATCATCATCATCATCATCATCATCCTCATCCTCATCATCCTCATCCTCATCCTCATCTCATCCTCATCCTCATCCTCATCATCAGCATCAGCATCAGCATCAGCATCAGCATCATCATCATCATCATCATCATCATCATCATCATCATCATCATCATCATCATCATCATCATCATCATCATCATCATCATCATCATCATCATCTGCCTACTTATGTATACATTCCCCCTCCCTCTATGCCTCCCCCTCCCCCCCCTCCTCCTCCTGGAGGGGGCCGCGGCGCAGGTCTGCCGCGGATCTCCTCGCTCATCTCGGCGGCGCGCCCCGGCAAGAGGCACTGCAGGGGCACGTGCACGTCGCCCAGGCAGGCCTCACCGCGCGCCGCTCCCCCCGCCCCGGCAGGCCCCCTGCGGCAAGGGGGGGGGAAGGGATACAGCGGCGGCCAGTCCACAAGAGGCCTTCCACGAGAAGCCCCTCCCCTGAGGCCCCAGGACGCCCCTCGACTCTGGTGTGGGAGCGTCGCATATATCTCCGTGGGAGAGACGCCCGAGACCCGAGAGGCCCAGGGCCCCCTGGAGGAGGAGGAGGAGGAGGAGGAGGAGGAGGAGGAGGAGGAGGAGGAGGAGGAGCTTCTTGGCAAGGGCCTCCACTGGCACCCGTGCTGGCCGCCCCCCGCGGCCTGCACGCCGCGGCCCCGCCGCCCGCGCCGTCCACGAGCGGCCGCGGCCCCGCGGGGAGAGCAGCAGCCTCGGGAGCGCGCGCCTCTGTGGGACCGCGCGCCGGGGGCCCTGCAGACCGACCGCGAGAGGCGTCGGGACGCGGGCGCGGTCGAGGCGCTGACCCAGCTCCCGAGCGAGGAGCGAGGCCCCTGCTTTCTCCGCAGGTGGCACCTCGACCTCGCACCGACGAGCTGAGGAGGACACCCTGAGGACAGGCTGCACAGCAGCGCCGCGGAGCCCCGAGCCCCTCCCCAGCGACGAAGGGGTCCCCTCTTCCTCGGCGGCCCGAGCGCAGTCAGTCATGCTCGTCGCTCGAGGGGCGCCGAGCGAGCGGACCTCCTGCCGCGCGGCCCGAGGTGGCACGGCCTCTCTCTCTCTCCGCGCCGGCCGCCTGCCGCCACACCGGTGACTGGGCGCACTGCCGCTCCCGTCCGATGCACCGGGCGGGCGGCCGAGGGAACCCCCTCCTCCCGTTGAGCCTTGCCCCCCCCCCGGCCCTCGAGGAATGACAGAGAGAGAGGCTGCTGGTTGATCTCGGCAGGGTTCTGGGCGCGCCCGGCCCCGTCCGGGCCTCCGCAGGCCTCTGCAGAAGAGCCTCCAGGGGCACCCCGGGGACCTCCGTGGGTCCGGGTCCTGGGCGGAGGCGTCACTTACCACCCCCTCCTCCTCCACCTCCATGGCTTCCTGGCCCGAGCCGGTTGGCAGCCCTGGTCTGCACGCTCGCGCAGGTGAGTGCGGCGCGCCATGCAGAAGACTGCGGCGCCGGCCAACATAAGAGGAGGCCACCGTGGAAGCACGAAGGCGAAAGCCGCGGACGATGCGTGCTCCTGAAGCGCACGCTCCTTACAACAGTGCGCGCGCTCGTGAAGCTATGATGATCAGAAGCGCGGCGCCCCCAGGCGCCCCCCCTGGAGCCCGCAAGGGCGGTATCTTACTTGACCTCATCTTGAATCGCGCATGGGCGGGCTCCAAGCCGGCACCCCCGGCCTCCGCCCCACGGTGCACATCCGAGGAGGTCGAGAGGAGACGACGGCAATGAACCGAATCGGCCATATCATCGAGGGGCTTTCGGGGATCTTCTGGCCCGGGTCAATCCAGACCCAGGTCAGTCAGGCCCTGCAAGATTCTGCAAGATCCTGCGCCCAAGCCTGGGCCAATGCGAAGGATCCTGCAGGACCCTGCAAGACCCTGCACCCAAGCCCGGGTCCATGCGACCCTGGCCCTGCAGGACCCTGCAAGATTGGGGCGCTCTGGCTGACCCCCGTTTGCATTGACCCCCGTCTAAAGGCTCCCGAGGCTTGACCGATCAATTTCCCCGTCAAGGCCTGGAAATGGGCACCAACACCAACACAGGGGGGTTCCTCCACACGGGGAAGATGATCCTAGATTTCAGTGTTGGTGGTAACATTTCGGCCACCTCGGAAGCCAAAACATTACCACCATCACAGAAATAGGGATCTTCTACCCTCGGTGGAGGCACACCGCCGAAATTGGTGTTGGTGTCAACCTCTAGGCCTGCGAGTGCTCCTGCTCCTCCGCCTCCTCCTCGACCTGGCCAGCGGGGCGCGGGGGGCGAGCAGGCGCCGGGAACTGCCACGGCGGGGGCCGCCGCCCCTCCACCCTGCCGGGGCGCTGCCAGCAGTGCCCCTGGCCCAGGGCGCGCCCCCCCACGGCTTTCGACGAGGCCCCCGCGGCCTCCAGAGCACCCCCTCACGGGGGCCCTCGGGGGCCTCGGGGGCTCCAGAGCGGAGCGCAGAGCGGGGGGCACCTGGGGCCCTTTGGGCACCCGTGGCAGCCCCCGGACCCTTGGGGCGTGACGTCGCGAGGCCGGATCCGACCCGTGGGGCTCCAGGGGGGCTGGGCACGCTGGGCACGGGGCGCGCGTGCTCGTCGCGGTGCTTCCACGGCGCCCGGCGGGGGGGGGAGAGGGGAGGCACCGCGTGTCCCAGGGGTGGTCCGTAGCCTCGGCTCGCTCCTCTGGCTCACATGGGACGCTAGTGCTGTGTGCGCTTCTGTGGAGGCGCGCGTCCGACCCGGACATACAGTACGACCATATCGTGGTACCTCGCTTCCCGAGCGGGATGGCCAGGAAGCGCCCTCCACGGAGTGTATGCTGCAAGATTTCTCGGCGCGCGTGTCGTCCCTGGGAGGGCGACGCACACCTAGTATTAGTATGTCGGGGTGACGCCGAGCTCAAGGCAGCGAGATGGTTCATAAGGGTTGCCCGATGTGCATTCTGCATTGTACTTTTGCCTATAGTCTGCAGAGAGGTGTGTGTGTGTGTATGAGTGTGTAAGAAGCTGGAGCGCGCCAGTCTTGGCAACATGAGGCGGTTGCTCGATCAGCGCAGACATTCTTGGCACGATCTCACGAGCTCATTCTAGAGTGGGTTATGTGGCGCATGGCGCATGGGCAGATCGGGACCGGTGCGTGCGTTGAGAACATGAAATTTGAAGACGGCCAGATCGATTTCGGCCGTCAAGCTGGATCTCCGCCCTCGCGCATGCAGCCAGTTAGTTGAAATCGTATCCAGCTCAAGGTCGAAAGGGGCGTGGTGGTTCCTTAGGTTTGCAGACGTTATGTTGCTTGAATGGTGGCGAGCCCCTTCGGGGATCCTTCGGATTGTACGACCGTTCCCTCGGACTTCACGGCTCAACTTGGAAGAGAAGGGGCTTTGTTGCTCTTTGATCGTCCCTTATCTCAGCAGCCCGACTGTCTCGCGCTCATGCCGCGGGGCAAGAGAACACAGAATCGAATCGATAAGTCGGATCGGCGATCGCAATGAATCGGATCGGCGGACATCGGCGGCCGAGTCGGGTGAAGCCGAATCGGCGGAAGTTGGCAGACATAGTAAGCCTCCGTTGAGAAATCGGAATCCAGATCGGAATCCGAAGTCGAGCTGAATCGGAATGGGGAGCCATCAGAAATCGAACATCGGATTGGATCGAGGGCATCGAGGCGAGCCCCGCGCGGGGGCGGCCTCGCGGGAGATCAAAGCCCTTGACCGCGCGGCTCCGCCCCCCGCGGGCATGGGCAGGGGCATGGGGGAGGGCAGGGGAGGGGAGGGGGAGGGCAGGGGCAGGAGCAGGAGGAGGAGGCCGAAAGGGGAGGAGGAGGTGGAAGGGGAAGGAGCAGGAGGAGGAGGAGGAGGAGGAGGAGGAGGAGGAGGAGGGCAGGGGGAGGAGGAGGATGCCGACGAGGAGGCTCTCACGCTCTTGATCGCGCGGCTCCGCGCAAAGCCGGCGCCCGCCCCCTCCCCCAGCCGCCTCCCTCCCACTCAGAGCCCCGAATCATCAGTGCTAGGTTGACGACGTCTACACATATCCCCGCACACCCTCGCGTCGCGAAAAAAAAAACGACGGGGTGTGTGTTCGCTATTTTCGGTCTCCGGGGGCCCTCACTGGGCCTCGGGACCGTCAAACGACTCAGAATGAAAAACCAGCCCCACTGCTCCCTGGCCAGGCCCGTCCTGAACCCAGCAGCGGTGTACAAGCCACGCCCTCCTGGCTTGGCCAGGAGGGCGTGTGCACAGCTCCTGTGTTCAGGATGGGTCTGGCCAGGGAGCAGTGGACATGTATAGCTGTCGTCGCCCCGAGGGCAGCTCCTGATTCGTGCCTCGGGGGCCCAAACTGCAGTTGGCCTGGACCAGAGCTCCGTGCGGCCAACCACTCCCGAATATCCGGGATGACTCCAGTCCGGGATGATTTCAGTCCGGCGAGACCCCGGCCGTGGCCCCCGACGCACGAACGAGCAGTTACCCCTGACCACCCCAAGCCCTGACAATTCGGGGCCCTGAGATAAGAGGGGGGGCAACGATAGGGAGGACTGGCATAGGGGGGATGCATCGACCTGGAATCGGCGATACATCGCCGATAGATCGGCGATAGACCCTGGATAGTGAATCCGCACCTTCCTGGGCAGATTGGGGCTATCGGGCCCCTATCGGCGATCCATGGGCGATCGGGGGTCGATGCATCCCCCCCCTCTGCCCTTTGCCTCTCCCCCCCCTCTCGTTGCCCCTGGGAAAAGGAGGAGGAGGAGGAGGAGGAGGAGGAGGAGGAGGAGGAGGCGGAGGAGGAGGAGGAGGAGGAGGAGGAGGAGGAGGCGGACGAGAAAGAGCAGGGGCAGGGAGAGGAGGAGGGCGCTGCGACTCCGCCACGGCGCCCGAGCTCGGTGCCCGATCGGCGCGCGGCCCTCGCCGCGCCCGAGCTGCACGGCGCCGGCAGCGGGGGAGCCGGGCGGCCGACCTTGCCTTGCCGTGCCGCCTGCCTCTCGAGCAGGGGATCGACTACAGAGCTGATGCACCCCAGCACTGAGCTGAGGGTTGCAAAAAAACCCTCGAAGGATTGCAAAAAAAACCCTCGAAGGGTTTTTTTTGCAATCCTGGGTTTTTTGCAGTCCTGGTTTTTTTTTGCAATCCTGGGTTTTTTGCAGTCCTTCGTTCAGCTGAGGGTTTTTTGCGATCCTTCGTTGAGGTTTTCTGCAATCCTTCGAGCTGAGGTTTTTTGCAATCCGTCGAACCTGCAGGAGACTGTTGCGCGCAGTCTTCGCAGATCGACAGAAAGGTTAGAATTACGCGTTTTCAGCAGATCCGACGACAAAAGACAGGTCTTGGGTGCATCCATTCTGCAGCCGATCCCCTGCTCGAAGCTTGACACCTCCGTGCCAGAGGCATCGGTCGGCGGCGGCGAGCGAGGGGGTGACGTGAGAAGGAGAAGGCATTCTCAGAAGTCTCGGAAGTCCCCCGGCCTCCTGAGATTTTTTCTAAGCCTTCCCCGAAGACGCAGAGACCTTCTCAGTAGGCGCGAGGGCTTTCAAGAAGTCCCGCCGCCTTCTAAGAAGGCCACCTCCTTCTCACTTCCCCCCCTCGCTCGCCGCCGAACTTGGTTTTTGTGTCATGTCTCGGGTCTCCGGCGGCCGTTCGGGACGATCCGGGCATCCCCGGAACGCCCTCGGCGAGGCGCAGCTGCTGGCGAGCATCCCGAGGCCAGAAAACCGTCGAGAACCGACGAAAACGTCAGACGAAAACCTCGAACCTCGAGCCCGAAACTCGCTGCCGAGAGAGACGGCCTGGGCCTCGTTCTCACTTCCCCCCATCTCGCTCGCCGCCGAGCTGTGCCAGAGTTAGGTCGGGCATGTCCTCCTACAGGCGGATTTTGGACGAGTAAGTAAAAGTTGTGAAAAGATACTCAGCAAGAGTCAAAACTAGTCCAAAAAATCGCCCCCAGACTACTGCCTGACAACTTTTGAACCTTCCTCCTGCAGGAATGACATGCCCGACTTCATGCCAGAGGCATGGGTAGAGGCCTTCTAGATGGGGTCGGAGTAGATGGGGTCGGAGGATCGCGCCGCATCAGCGATATATCGGCGATGCATCGGCGATACATCGGCGATGCACCGGCGATGCGTCGGCGACGTCGGCGATGCATCGGCGATGTCGGCGTGAGGAAAATTGGGCCCCACGTCGAGACGCATCGGCGGTGCATCGGCGATGCGGCGCGATCTATTCCGACCCCACCTGCTCCGACCCCCACCTAGGAGGCGTAGACTCCTGCAGGAAGGACATGCCCGACTGCATGCCAGAAGCATGAGGAGGAGGAGGAGGAGGAGGAGGAGGAGGAGGAGGAGGAGGAGGAGGAGGAGGAGGAGGAGGAGGGAGGGAGGTCAAAGCGGTTCCGGAGAGGGTCGCGACGGACTATGGCGGCGCAGCCGAGGGGGGTGGCGCCCAGCGGGGCGGCCCTCCGAGCAGACGGGGGGCCCCTCGGAGGGCACGCGGGCACTCCCCGGAGGGGCCCGGCGGCTTCCGCGAGGGTCCGTCCCGGGAGGGGCCAGAGGAGTTCGCGCGGGGGACCGACGGCCTCATTCCTCTCCTCCTCCTCCTCCTCCTCCTC